CACGGATCATTGAAATGCGCCAAGTGCAGGGTCGCTCAATGCAGTTGTACTCTGCCTCTGTCGCTCTCTCTCTCTCTCTCTCTCTTTCTGTCTCCCACGCTCTGCCTAATGTAGGGTACTGAATGCATGCGGGTGCGGCTTTTGATGTGTTTTTGCTCTCACCCAAAAAAGAAGCGGTATTTTTTATGTGGGATTTTTTTGTTCCCCATTTGTGTGGTGTTGTTTGCGCTTGTGTGCTTGTGCCTGTGTTTGTGCTTGTGTTTCTCAGCGCGTGCTTAATTATACAAAATGTGTTTTGCGCTCGGCTTAACAGCCCAGTGATTTATTTTGGTAGCTCGCTGGCGGCAGCATTCGAATGATGAATTTATTTGTGTGTGAATGCGTTTGGCATGTGGAATGTCTATGTGTGTGTGTGTGTGCAGATAAATGTGCTGCATTTGTTGTTGCAATAATAAATTGTGGGCAAGGAACTCATAAAGGTGATATCAAGCATGTGGGAAATTTCGTTTGGATTTATGATGCTCAACTACTGCAGGATATTTATCAATGTGGAATGTAAGTCGTGGAACTGATTGTGGATCGTGATGCTATAAATAAGTGTGCAAATGTATATAGGGAAGTATATAGGGAAATTTACATTGTATATTTTCCATTTCTACTATGTGGATCATATTTGAAAATTGTAATCAGAGACTCGAATCTTTTTTAAATGATAAACATAGGCACAGATTAATTACTTTACTGATTTCATGTTCATTTCATATAATTTGGTTTTATTTGTACCATGGGAACCCATTGACCGTCATCATAATCGTCGTCCAGGGGCCTCTAGTCGCTGCAACTATTAAATTTTTAATTTTTCTTTGTAATTACACAATTTGACATTTTCATTAATTGAGCTTAATTGCTGACATTTGCGAATGGTTGTGTCTTACTGTGCTTTTTGTTTTCCGCCGCTTAATTGCATTTTCTGTTACAATTTCATTTGTAACTGCTGCTAGTGTTGTTGTTGTTATTGTTGCGTTGTTGTAAAACAAGCCGCCAGCCACTTGACGCGACCTTTGCCAACTTGCCAACTCGCCAATTCATTAATAAATTGCTCGAATAGCTTCAAAACAGCTTTTTTCAAAACCGTTATTAGCTGCTCAGTTGTCACCACGTCACAGCGATGTTTCAGTGTTGTCCATATGTCTGGAATCTCGCTAATGTAATTTGAGCTATTTTTGCCTATATTTATTAGTCGTTTCTTAAAGAGTTGGCAAAAAAGTAAACTTGGATATTTTCTACTTCTTTAAACAAATAAAGCCAACACGAAAAATTCAAGAATACAATATCAGTAATTGTTATTACTTCCTATTCAATAAACAGCTAAAGTATTTTATTTTATGTGCTGTTATCTTTGGCGTCAAAGCTTTTCACATGAAATTGACACAGATTTTCATCAAATTAATTGTTGTGGGGCGTTTAAAGTGAACGCCGCGCACTCAACAAGCAAAAACATGTCAAAGTGTGCTACAAGTGCCACGCACACTCACACATACACACACACGTCTACAGTGTACCCCGCCTATAGCAGACACGCTTATCAGTAGCCATAAACAGCTCTAGCAACAGCTCGTCGCTCTCTTAAAAAAAAACTTTGCTTCCGCCGCGCTCAGTGTGTCCAGAGCGCCGTTACAAAGTGTATCAGATAGAGTGAGAGCGCTAGAGGGGGTCAGACAGCGAGAGTCTATGCTGGGTGCTTGGGCGTTTGTGTTAGTGTGTGTGAGCGCACAGCAGCACGACGTCGTGTCGTTTCAATTTATTACACTTTGACAGCTTTCCGAAACACTGTGCGACGCGCTGTGCGACTTTTAATTAAAATACAAAATTTAATTTACGCACGCTATGCAGCGTTGCTAGCAAAACTTTGTTACTAAAATTGAAGGCTGAACAACAAGAGCTTATCAGCACACATACAACAACACTTACACCAATGCGAAATCAAAGTGAAAAGGAGAAAATGCGATAAACACAAATCAAAGCAGCAGCGGCAGCTCACAAACGGCGCCCACGCACACACACATATATATGTATATAGAAATGTAGATTGTCAATTGTTATTGCTGCACGTTTGCTCTCTTTCTCTTACACTCACACTCTGTTACACTGCGGCTGTTTACATTGAGGCTGTTAATATTGTTGTTCTCGCTGTGTGTAGAGCATTTGCTGATTTGTCGTTTTTGTGTTCTGCTGCCTTGCCTCAATTGATTTGAATTGAATTATAATTAGGTGATAAATGGGTCTTTATTAATATTTCCAACGTTAATAGCATAAGAACCATAAGCTGTTTGCATTGATTACAGCAGACCATTAGATGTTGTGATCTGTTGCATATGCCTGTTAGCAGTGATTAGCTGTTGATTAACAGTCCAATTAACAGACGTTGTCTAACAGTTGAAGACCTTTTACTTTCATGTGCCGGCTGCTACAGTGGGTGCGCTAATTGAATGCACGCCTAACAATAGAATTCGCATATTTTTGACGTTTTAATTAATTTGAATTAAAATTATAATTTCGTTTATCATTTACCGTTTCCTATGCAAATCCTACTCATGAATAATTTATTTAGTTTGATTCACGATTGCGTAAAATTGTTGCATAAATTATTCATAAATGAAAGCAGAAAAAAAAAACTGGATTGATTAATTGAAATGCTTTTATTTATGTTTTCATAAATATTTTAAATGCGATTTTTTTTGAAAGCATTTTGTAAATAATATATTAAACGAAATGTGACAGCCGCATTACACAAAAAGCTTTTGCAAAAATTATTAAATTGTTCGGGCAGACATGCATATGAACGTATGTACACTGTGAAAAATGATTGCAGCAAAATTAAAGAATGCCTATAGAAAAAATAAAAAAGATTATTATATTTTAATTAATTCAGTTTTTATTAAATTTGTAATTTATTTTTTTATACTGTTACAATATAGTCTTTTCTGTGAACAGCTGAAAACCCGTTTTGTATCTTTGTTATTGAGTGCATTATTGACAGCTTGTCCTGTGGCGCACACTGAAGGACACTCTGGCAACGCTGCTAGCTCTGGCTGTCATTTGCCACTTCGTTATTCTGCCCCGCTCGCTCTGCTGCTCTCTTCATCATGCGCTGCTCTGCACATGCAACTGCATATTTTAACAGCTTTGCCCTTTCAACTAACTGCCCTCTCCTCACTCCTGTCTGTCTCTATGCATCTCTTTCACTCGCGCGGCCTCTCGACAAGCGCTTGACGTGTGCGTGCATCGTGTTATGGGAAACTGGTTTGGAATGCGCTTACGCCTACCCGCTCTCCCTCCCATTCCTCACTCCATGCATCAATCTCTCTCGCTTGCACTGCCCTATCATGCTATCTAGGCGCAGCTTTGGCACTCGTCGCATGCCTTATGAATGATTCAAATGCATGTTATGTGCGCAAAAAGAAGACAACAAAAAAATACCGTTAAGAGTTGCGCTTTTTCGTGATACCCATTAATGCATTGGAGCTCTTATTGGATGCATGGGAATCTGATACGTTATTTTCAAGTTTTAGCTGTTATTAACAGCAGTCAATAAATCAAACTGTTGCATATCTTAGATGATATACACACATATATACCAACATACTTAAAGCTGCTCTGATGTAGGGAAACCGTTAGGGAAATTTGTAAACAAACTGTAAACTTACTTCAAAATTAATGTTAAATGTGGACGCTAGTTTAATGTTAATGTTAATGTTAACCATAATTTGTTTGCTGTTATAGGGTATGCCTTGAGTCTAGAAGCTAACGTTGTAAAGTTTTCACATGATTCGAGTAGCCACCGACATCTCGTTTTTGGTGCCGGTTTCCGTTAGTCTGTTTCAACAAATTGTTGTTTTTGTTGCTGCTGTTGTATTGTGGCATTTTTAGGAGCGCTGCGACTATGACCTTTGTCAACGGAATTTCGGTACCAATTTGTGTCTCTTTTTCTTCCTCCTTTTTCGTAAAATGCTTCTGAGGATTTTGTGGTTTGAGCTGACATTAGAGAAAATGCCACTTGAACGTTTCTTTTTTCTCCATTGTATTCAATTTATTGACAAAAAATTTGCAGCTGGGAAAAATTCCAGGAAATCTCGGTAGAAAATGTTTGCGATAAGCTTAGGGGAGAAATGCCTATTGCGTTAGCACTTTACATTAGTTGGAACTGGAGTCTTATAAGATAAATGTGCACTGTTAGCTAACAGCTTGGTAAACATTTGTGTATTAAGATTTGTTGCTCCGCACTTTTCAATTGGACTTTCACATAGAATCCCATAAGATTAATGCGCACTGTTAATTAACAGCACAATAAGCTTTTAACAGATTGTATTGTAGTTATTTGAAAGCTGTCGTATTGGAATTAGTTGCTGCGCTACAATTGGAAAGGTCTTATAAGATTTATTGATATGGAAAAAAATATGGATATGGAACAATTGCTCTTTAAAAACAATAAACATTGTTTGATTCAAGTTTGGCTTGAAAACAAAAATATTTGCAAGTCATTTTTCAAGTTGAGTTCGTCACTGAACAAAGAGCTAACAATTTATTGTGTGACCAAAAACTCGTAATCTCCACGAATATAACTTTCATTTTCGCTTTAGACATATATTTACATACATAAATTATAGTTTTATGGTATTTTGTTGTTGTTTCTCTTGTCGAATATTTGTTAATGTTGATTTTTGTATGCTTTCTTTACAGTTGACTTGTTTCTCAAGGTCTTTCGGAGGCATATAAAAGGAAGAGGAAGAGGCGAGCAAGAAACTGGTTATTGGGGCGGCTATGAGCTGGCAGCGGGTGTCGAGGGGACTGGAGTGTACCGGAGAGGATGCCACAAGGGGGGCAACTAGTTAAGCAACACCAACAACAAAAGCAGCAGCCGCTTGACTCTGCGTAGCATGAGAAAGAGACAGAGGGAAAGAGAGAGAGAGAGAGTGCGACTGCTACACAAATGTGCCAAAACAACAACAGCAGCAATAGCAGCAACGACAAAATAAAAGCAATTCCATAGGAGCATAGAGCAGCGCATGTTAACCAAAAGTCTGATAAGAAGAGTTCTATACTGTTAACAAATACGACACATTCACATATCCTTAGCACTCAACTTAACAGCGCGTTAAAAGAGTGTGCATCAAGAGTAGCCCATGCACAAATGACAGACAAAAGCAGATTGCTGCAACCAGTTAACATGAATGAGCATTGAGCTACGCCGAGACAGACAAAAGCTGATTGCTGCTAAACTGAACGACTGACAGTAAAGAAATCAAATTTGTCTTGCAATTTAAAATTTTGTATAGTTAATAAAGGTTAAACTTTGACAGTTTGACAAGCGCACAGCATTCACACACATACATATATAGAGTTAACATGACGCTGCAAACATTTACACGCAAAATGCGCGGACGGATGCGCTCAAACACCTGTCGCATTGTCCTGCTCACCTCATTGGTTTGGGTCATATTTGACTTTGTCCTGATTGCCCGTTATTCGGACTGCATCGGTAAAGATGGCTGGCGTTGCAGGCGAGCCGGCGAATACGACGTTGAGGTGAGCTAATGACATATCGTATATAAAGGAAATGTTATAAACTGTTATATCTCTGGCCATCCCTTTCTAGCTGCCCAACGCTGAGCGTTTGGCGGACGACAATCAGCTCGTTAATGACAATGAAATAAATACCGAGAAGTCATTGGATGGCGAGGATAATGGCGGTGGTCCGGCACCCATAATGGGCCAGGGCTTTGTCTCTGGTGGCATTTCGATGACCTATCGCAGTGTTGTCCTAAAGAAATGGTTCCAAGCGCCCACAGTGCGAGAGGCACGGGGTAAACCTGGCGAAATGGGCAAACCCGTCAAAATACCCGCCGATATGAAGGATCTCATGAAGGAGAAGTTCAAGGAGAATCAATTCAATCTATTGGCCAGTGATATGATCTCATTGAATCGCTCGCTAACAGATGTGCGACATGAGAAGTAAGTGTGCGGAGAAGAGAGAATATCCTGTAGCTATTTAAAGTGGTTAAATAGGTTATATTAGGTTAACAGTTAGATGAAGTTATAATAAACGTTATCATTATTCTTTTCCAGCTGCCGTCACAAACACTATCCTTCAAAGCTGCCAACGACTTCAATAGTTATTGTCTTCCATAATGAGGCGTGGACCACCCTACTGCGCACAGTTTGGAGCGTCATCAATCGATCGCCGCGCTCTCTACTAAAGGAGATCATATTGGTGGACGATGCCAGTGAGCGAGGTAAGCAACGAAACATAGAGCATTGCATACATATGTATGCACATAGTTGTGGCAGCTAGAGCAAACTTTTCTTCATCCCCTCGCACCTCTTGTTCGTATTTGCATATTTGCCTCTCATAATGTTCTCAATGCACAACGGAACTTGAGTGCCATTGGGACTTAGTGCGAGCGAGGCAGTTGGCTGCTCTCTCTCCTCTATGGTTCCGCTACTTTGCTCTCTTTTGGTTGCTCTCTCAAATGCGCACATACATAAGCAGCAAGGCTTCTCTGTCGTTGGCTGTGCTCGTATGAGATGTTCACTTTATGCTTGATTATTTTTGTATGTGTTATGCAAGTGTTGGTGCGCTTGTGAAAAAACTCCTTGGAGCACGCACACACATACACATGCCTAAGCCAGCCAAGCACTTTATTGCTTATGCATGTACAGACGGATTCAAGTGTGTGTGCATGTCTTGTTGCCTGCTCGAATTGTACCAACGTTGCTCCATCTCCCTCGCACTAGCGCTTGAATCTGTTGCATTTAGTTGTTCAAGTTTTTCGTGATAACTGTTCATCTATTGAAATGTTTCACTTTGCTATTTCAGACTTCCTTGGCAAACAGCTGGAGGATTATGTGGCCAAATTACCTGTGCGTACGTTTGTGCTGCGCACGGAGAAACGCTCGGGCCTGATACGCGCTCGCCTGCTCGGCGCTGAGCATGTGACAGGTGAGGTAATCACCTTCCTGGACGCCCATTGTGAGTGCACTGAGGGCTGGCTGGAGCCTCTGCTCGCTCGCATCGTGCAAAATCGTCGCACCGTCGTCTGCCCCATCATCGATGTCATCTCGGATGATACGTTTGAGTATATAACCGCATCGGACTCGACGTGGGGCGGCTTCAACTGGAAGCTCAACTTCAGATGGTGCGTGTACTACGTTGGCTTTTCCTTTGCATGAACCTAGCTATAATATATAGACTCTCATTTGAATCGAATATCATTTAACCTTTCTGAATTTCCTGTTCGTTCAGGTATCGTGTGCCGCAGCGTGAGATGGCGAGGCGGAATAACGATCGCACAGCTCCGTTGAGGACTCCGACTATGGCTGGCGGATTGTTCTCGATCGACAAGGAATACTTCTATGAGATTGGCTCCTACGACGAGGGCATGGACATCTGGGGCGGTGAAAATTTGGAAATGTCGTTCCGAGTAAGGCCAAACGCACTGAATTATTTTCCTTCTATCGTTTTTCCATTCGTTCTTACAGCTACCAAGCCAAGCCGCAAAAAATTCTAAAAAAAAAAAGTGTTGCCCATTTGCCTACATTTTTCATATAATCATTATAATAATAATAATAATGTTGGTTATTATTATTTATCATTGTTCATTTACTCTACGCCTGATTTGAGTCAGATCTTAATTTTTAATTTATGTTTTACTTTTTTTTCTTAAATATTATTTCTAAAATTGAAAAATCGAATCACAAACAACGAAACACTAAAAAAAAAAATATACCAAATTCTGTGACAACTCTCTAGATATGGCAATGCGGTGGCATTTTAGAAATTATACCCTGCTCGCATGTGGGTCACGTGTTCCGTGACAAATCGCCGTACACCTTCCCGGGAGGCGTGGCCAAAATTGTGCTGCATAATGCGGCGCGGGTGGCCGAGGTATGGCTGGACGAGTGGCGTGATTTCTATTATGCAATGAGCACAGGTTCGCTAAAAAAAAAAATACCGAAAATACCAAAACCAAAATTTACATTGACAAAAAACGAACAACACTTATACCACACTAAACTAAATTTAAATTTAAAACAATAACAAACATTTAATTCTTACATAATTAAATACTATTAATGCGCATCTAACACTTGAATTTTGATATACATATTTTGATTGGCTTTCACTTGTTACTAAAAAAATACCAAAAAATACTAAGAACAGAATTAACTCCAGATCAAAGAATTAGTCTCGGCTTGCCGGAATTAAAATATTTTTGCAGATATGGGAAAAATATATCTATTATATCAGTGCAATTATTTCAGTAGTATAAAAATTATATATATTTTCCTTATATATACGACGAATATCCCCAACTGCAAGAATATTTTGAGTACAGTTTCCAAGCAACACACAGAAGCGCTACAATATACTAAAAAAATACTAAAACACAAACAACAACACCAAAACAATGCCAGAAAAACAAGCTTCGAACATTATTTTGAGCATAATTAACAAAACATTTGAATAATATATCGAAATATATACACACATATATATATATAATATATAACTAGCCAACTATATATAGTACATGCATATTATGTAATGTATCGTAACACCCACAGAATATAATGTAATACTAAAACAATGAAAAGCTAATGCCTCTGTCGTCGCTTAACCAAATAATACAAATTCGGCATATATATTTTATAATTTGTTAACAATCATAATTAGTATATTGATAAATATGGATTTGATTAATTTGGAAATTTTCTTCTTTTATATACTAAATGTTTCGTATATTTGTGTCGAAACGAGACGCCAAGGGCAACAGCCAAGCGCGAACTTTTTGTTATTAACTAAATACTAACCAAAATACGAAGAAAGCGAAACAGAATATTTTGGATAATACAAATAATACATTAATCATAACACTCATCTAACACTGAGTACCATTTTCCTTTAACTTAGGCTAAACTAAACTAAACTAAACTTAATTTTAGTATTTATGTATTTGTACACGAATTGGTATTTCATATTCTAGTGCTTAGTTTTTACTCCTAAGTTTTTTAAGTATTATATAATTTATTGTGATCTTTTTTTTATCTATATGAGTTGATTTGTTACATTTATCTAGGCGTCTCTCTCTCTTGCTCTCCCTCTCTCTCTCTCGTTGTTGGCTAGGATTGTTGGACTCACTTTTTGGCCATTCTCGTTGCAGCATTAAACTTGGCTCATAGAGTTTCGCCTGCTTTGCTAGTTAAGATAAAGACCGGCACTATAGCGGGTCTGACTGTTTACAGTTACTCGTTAAGACTAAGATTTACTCACTATGAAGCTTGTTCGCTTATTGCTATTCCCTACAAATCTCGTACGTATCTTAAGCTACTCGCTATAAGTACTCGTTGGTTGTTTCTAACAACTACTCCTTAGACTTATTCGTTATGGATCTCTGCTTATACAGCCTCAACGATACTCGCTTAACTATGGCTATAACTAGCTTCCGATAGCTATGAGCATATACCAAATACTCTATATATATATATACTCCACTCAAGGAGTTATCCAACTCTTTAAGCTAATTGTTAATTGAACTTTGTACCCTACTGCTTACCCATCCCTCTCTCACAATATTCCGCCCTTTTGCAGCTCCCTAGGTACAGCTCCAACTCAGGTCAATATTTGCGCTTGGCTCTATGCAGACTTTACTTCGGTCCGCCCAAACTCTATTACTGAATATATATGTGTAAAGCTCCATCTCTCCCTCTCTATCACTTACTCTCTCTCTCTCTCTCTCTCTCTTTCTTTCTTTCTCCCTAACCCCATTTTCATGTCAACTCTGCCCGACTAACCGAACTCTGACTGATTATTGGTGCCCCTGTGTCCAGGTTTGGATGTGCGGCGGCCTGCTTGAGATAGCGCCCTGTTCCCGTGTCGGTCATGTCTTTCGTAAATCAACCCCATATACCTTCCCGGGCGGTACGACGGAGATTGTTAATCATAACAATGCGCGTCTGGTCGAGGTTTGGCTGGACGACTGGAAAGAGTTCTACTACAGTTTTTATCCAGGTTAACGAACAACAACTAGAACAAAATCAATTAAAACTCTCGCTGAATGCAATTTTACTCTATCTGTCTGTCTCTCTCACCTGCTTTTCTGCCTCACTCTTTTTCTGTCTCTCTCTCTCTCTCTATCTCTCTATAATATATATATATATATAATATATCTATATATTTCTTGTGCAAGCAGCACGCTCTGCATTTTGCAATTGTCTGTCTTATATACTACACACATATATGTATATTATATAATTTACCTATATTCTATTATTCATATATATAGATTATATATATATATGATATATGGCATGGCCAAGTATTAAACCAAAACCCACCCATCACCCCCACCAAGAACCCCTTTTTAAAGCTCACTCTGTGTATTTATTTACTTGTGTTTTTCTGTGTATACTCGTTCACCAAGTGATAAGAGTATATTGGTTAAGAGTAATTTCCATTTTGTACGCTCGTTCGTCTGTCTGTCTGGAAAGCAAGCCATTACCGAACTGCTTTGGGGGTTTAAGACTTGGTATATTGAATCTATAATCTCATACAATTTAATCTTATAATTTTCATACTCTATAATTAAATCCCAAGTTTTTTATAACAGAAAATTTGGGATATATATTGAGATATTGAGCAGTCAAGATCTAAAATATATTGGATAAATATCTCGGATAAAATTATTTCTTTAAAAGTTATAAAGCATAAAATTCAACTGTAGGAATATCATGTCTTTCAATAATTCCTAAATTTACCGGAGGATCATCTTAGACCCTTCTTAGATCCAACATTCTTTCGTATAATAATATATAAGGCTTGCTAGTCTGTGAACGAGTATTGAACAGCCGGATACGACCGGTTGCAACATTCTTACCTGTTTTTGTATGAGTCCATTGTTTTTCTTAACTTTTTTTCCTTTGTCTATTTTCTTATACCCATTTTTCTCACTCCCGAAGGTTCCGTTATGTCTATATATTTTATCAATTTATTGGTTTGTATATTGTTTTGTCCAAAAGAAACGAGAAATTCGAAATGATAATGCCACACCCACCCACCCACACGACGCCTGTTTTTTGTCCCTTCCCCGCTCTCCGACATTCACGCATTTTAGCTCGTATTTTCCATTTGATTAAGGGTATTCCGTGAATTTGTTAAATTGAAATTTGTTGCACCTGGATACCCCGTATGTAATAAGCTTTAAGCGTACATTTTGTATATAGCAAAATATATATGGATTATATTGCATGCTTTGTATAACTATATTAACTACATTTGTATATTTGCACAGTTTTGGCTTTTGTTTAGATCTCTGGAGGAGAAAGTTCTGCACGATCTCTTTTGCTTTTTATATAACTGTTAACCAACACGATTGTAGCTTCAAAAACACTCACACGCACACTAACATAGATGCTCTACAGTTATTCTCCTGAAAGTTTACTAAAATTGTACCCATTCTTCTTCTCTCTCTCTCTCTCTCTCTCTGTTTTTCTCTTTGACATCCGATTTGGAATCCATTTAGGCGCTCGCAAAGCTTCAGCTGGAGATGTTAGCGATCGTAAGGCTTTGCGTGAACGTTTGCAATGCAAGAGCTTCCGCTGGTATCTGGAGAACGTCTATCCAGAGAGTTTAATGCCACTGGATTACTACTATCTGGGCGAGGTAAGGCTTGAGTGAGCGATTGAAGTTGGGAATACCCTTATTATCCAATCGAAAACTAAGTGAAGAAAAAAGGGTTTAATAAACAAATATATGATACACAATAGCTGCCCAAGGAATAACCCTATTAATGTATTTGTATGCTCGAATTTCTGATAGATACGCAATGCAGAGACTGAAACCTGCCTGGACACCATGGGTCGCAAGTACAACGAGAAGGTGGGCAGCAGCTACTGCCACGGCCTCGGCGGCAATCAGGTGTTCGCCTATACCAAGCGTCAGCAGATAATGTCCGATGATCTGTGCCTGGATGCGGCCAGCGCGAATGGGCCAGTGAATATGGTGCGCTGTCACAATATGGGCGGCAATCAGGAATGGGTGTACGATGCAGAGGTAAGTGCTGAATGGAGTACCAGTGCGAATGGATACCGTTATGTAATCTGTATTGCAGGAGAAGTGGATCAGGCACACGAACACGGGCCAGTGCTTGCAGCGTGCCACGCGAGACGATGCAAGCACGCCGCTGCTGCGTCCCTGCAACTACTCCAAGGGACAGCAGTGGCTGATGGAGTCCAAGTTCAAGTGGCAGGCGCACTAGCTAATAGCTAAACAGATAACTACGAACTACAACTAAAAACAAATAACTGAAGAACTTCCAATTTGTGTTTACAATATATATGTTAACTAATTTGCCAGCAGACGGGGGAGAAGAACTAGGAGCAGGAGCAGCAGGACATGCAGAAGGAGCAGGAGCAAGAGTTTCCAGCATTTTGTGCGGTTTTTAACTAAGTTTTCTGTAGCGCTAAGTTGATAGTTATTTCTGTTGTGCGTGTGTGTGAGTGTGCGTGTGTGTGTGTGCCGAATGTCTTCCCAATCAATGTGTATGAGTGCGCGCGTGTGTGTACATAAATATCTCTATATAAAGCATAGATTTTGTGGTATATATATATGTATACTTCTATATATGTATATATATAGATATTTAACTAGCCCCGACCAAGTACCAATAAATTGGCATTTAAATGACATTGTGCTTCACAAAAAAATATAATAATAATAATAATAATATAATAGAGCAACTTAGAAAGCCGCAGTCGGTAGCTACCGACTGGCTAATGCTCGTTCACGGATCAGGAGCTTGCATCAAGTTAACTGTCAAATTTCTATCATTTGTTCTTCCGCTTGGGCACGCCTCTAATGGGCGACGTATATATATACATATATTGTTTTATCTTGGCTTGACTATGCATTCCAAATTTCTGTAAAAGCACATAGTAATTCCTATTTTATATGCCTGAAATGGGCGTGTTAAGAAAATCCCTACGGTGTTTAGTTATTCCAAACTCCCTATCGTAGATAAAGGTTCAAGCCAGAGGCACGTCGCTTAAACCTAGCAAACCCTTTTCATTTCGTGAGCGAGTATCCAAATATTAATTATGTGTCATAGCAGCAGAATCGATATGAAGTAAAGCTATATGTATATATATATATATATGTATTTATATATATGTATATGTATCTGTAGCATATGGAAACCGAAGCAGCTCGCACATTCCCTTAGCTAATAAAAATATCAAGCGTTGTGTTTTATAAAATGAATGTATACATATATGTACATCCATATATTTAATGTTTAAGTTACGATTTTGTTGTTTTGTTTTTTTCTTGAAATTATCTTTCGCTTTGTACCAAATGAAAAAAAAAAACTTTGTTAAAATTCACAACAGATGGCGCTGCATATCATAAATTAAAATTTAAAAAACATTAACAGAAGCTTCTCAAATCATAATCATAAAACAAAAATTCTTAAAAAGTTAAAAATTCAATGCACGCATATCATAAACAGTGTAAAGAAAAGTATTTGATTAAGACCCACATCAGATATATATAAAGCAGGTATATTTATAAATGATATAAATATACATACATACATAGATATAAACTAATGTACAGAGTAGCTATAAAAAATATACATCTAAAATAATTATTTATATACATATATATATAATTGTGTGTGTAAAGCAAATAAAAAATATAATTATATAAATTGTATTATAAAAATATTTCTCTAAGTTCGAATTTAGAGTTTTTAGACTTAGTCGACAAGAAATAAGTAAAGAAAACACCAACAGCTCTTAAAAGAAAAACTAATTTTAAAAACTTATGATGTAAAATTTAACAACAAATTGTGCTCAAATTTTATGCTATTTTTGCTGTTGTGTAAATATTATTTAATGAAGTATTCCAAATCTTATAAAAAAAACCTGATTCAAAACATTATCGAGTATAATATGAACGATAAATTTATCCACCCACACACTCATATATACATGTATGTATACATATATACAAATCGATAAAAGCCAAGTAAAACTTTTTAGCTAAATTAATTTTTTAACAAAACTAAAAATAGAGTATATATACGTTTAACTGGTGACGGTGCAATTTTAATTTTAGCATAAACAAGATTCAATCAAGTTGCAACAGGCTGGCCAGCATCCTCCACAATCTCCTATTTAGTTTAGCTAAATATAATAAATATATATATATACATATTATTTGTAATTTGTTTATACATTGTGAAATCTCCCAACAAGAAACGAAAGAAAACAAGTTATATACTATATAGCAAGCCACCAAGTTGTAAGATGTAACTTTTTTGTTTAATTAGAAATTTTTAAATTTTATAAATAAAAGTGACAAAAACTAAATGAAAAACTCAACACAATAAATTGAAATTCTTTTTGTATTGTGTAGGAAACTTATTTAATATTCAGATGCTGTAAAAACTTAGCTTAACGAGATTTGTTGTCATACATAGAACTTTCCGCTGAGCCAGCGAACAACCTCTGGAAGGTGAGAGCCGAACCAGAAATAGTTTTTAATGGATTCTTAGATGCATGAACTTTTTTGGATATATCTCATCTACATCTACAAACTACAGGCGCAAAATATTTCCAAGATCTGAATTACAGTTACTTTTTGAGGCCTATATAAGTGCTGTAGAGAATAAATACTCGACTAGAATATACCTTATAATGAAATCAAGCAACTTCAATTAGAAATTCGATAAGCTCTACATAAAAGTCCATAAAATCATGCGCTCGACTGAAAAGTACCCTATATTTAGTTCTCAATGGGTCACAGTTCAAATGCCTTGGCGTTTAGTATTTGTATATCATATGAACTCGAATATACCTTAGTCAATCGTAATTCCGATTTGCTATTCGTGCATGTAAATATATCCCTCCGAGTGTATATTCCAAATGAACTATTAGAATATACCCTAGTCTATCGCAATTCCAGCTCTGTATAGCATTTGGCATTAGTATATACATTTCAATATAGCACAAATTTTATATCATAAAGTAGTTTGCCAAATTCGGGAATATATAAAAAATAGGCTGATCAGGAATATGCAGATATAGGCCACATAGGCCCATACAGACTTCAACTACACAGCGACCACTTTCACAATTTTGTACAGGGTATAATGAAAACACTTTATTTGCTTTACTGTTAGATAGTAAAAACCATTTTTTTATTTTTATTTTTTTTTCTTCACTTTATGCTTTTAGAGAGTAAAAGCAAGAACTTTTCTTTCAACCGGCGCGGCGCAAACCACAGAAAAATTGCGTGTCTATAAAACTACGGGAACTTCTAAACGTAACGGAGCATTTTGTTGTGTTTTTACTGTTCCTTCGTCTCACGCAGACGACGCACGGCGGAGCGCACTGAGGCGGCAGCGGTCGTGGAGTAGACCCAGGCACCGCCAGCAACGGTGCGCTTGCAACGCTTGCACGACCAGATGCCGACGACGGAGCGCTTCATGGAATCCTAGAGGGCGAAAGGAATTTCCATTTTGAAACTCGAATATAGAATTAAAATTTAATGTCTGCTCACCTTGCCACAGAAAGAGCAGGTATATTTGCTGTGCTGCGTGATTTCCATCTTCTTGACCATCTTACGCAGCGAGGCACCATAACGGGTACCATATTTACCAACGATTCCAACCTTCTTGGTGCGCTTGGCCTGTTTGGAGAAGATAGAAAAGTTTTAGTATAAATTCAGTGGCACAATTATTTCAAGCACTTTAGTATACAAATTACATTGTCAACTAATGCCACATTGTTTGTTTAATCATTCAACAGTCATTTAAGTTAACAAAAAACAGCGATTGCCTGTATATTTAACGATTTTTATCAATTCGTACCATTTTTAAGTTGTTGATTTGTCAAAAAATTCAACAGGAAAGAGACGGCCTGTCAACGGCATGAAGTGAAGTAGGCTGCGCTTGCTCACAGCACACAGACAGAAGCTAAACGCTATGAGATGCGAAAAGGCGGCAAATATTTGTGTATTCAAAATTAGCAAATAAATAATTAACAGTAACTGAAAATAAAGACTATTATTGAAATATACAATAAAATAATAGAATTGTATACGATAAGTCTAGCATGGTTTATGTAAATTAATGGGTCATTATTTCGGCTGGTGAACAGACGGCTTATTTCGCATTTGCCATTCACGTGGTCACGTGATATTTTGTTTCATCAGCTGTTTGGTGTAAAATTCGTTTGTTGTTACCCTACCAGTGCTGTCTAATGTACGACGGTTGTGATAAAAACACACACACAAAAAAAAAGAAGATAGAAAACGAAACGAAACGAATTTACATTCGATAGGCATTATTAGTACGCACTTGGGATTCAACGAACGGCAACAGCAACAAGACGGCCGTCAGCATTTTGTTACGTTACAAGCGCCCACTGTTCAAGCGAAACATGCATAGCTGTACGCTCCTGCAGGACGTTGCCAATTATCAGCCCGACACGCTGGATCTCAACACAGATGCCAAGGCGGCGGCCTACTGGTTCCCCTGCTTCCGCGAATTGGTGGGCAAGTTCGCCAAACAGGCAGCCAACAGCCAGATGGACGATGCCACTGCCGAGCAGCGGGCAGCGCAGTTCCAGGCCGCATATCTGCACCAGCTAGAGGAGCACCAGAACAACATAGCCAACAATCGGGGCAAGGTGGTGCTCGGCACCAGTGAGCTGCTCAAGTTAAATGAGACAATGCTGAGGCGCTACGGCTTCACAGACCCTTGGCTGCGGCAGAAGCAGCAGGAGAATGCCTCGGCCAAGGCCAGACTGAAGCAGCGCCTGCAGGAGATCGACGACATTGCCAATGAGGACGCGCGCTGGACAGAGCTAGTGCGCGGCGTTCTGGCTGGCAACATGTTCGACTGGGGCGCCCAGGCCATAGCTAACATACTGGAGCAGGACAGCAATTTCGGGCTGCATGCGGCGCTGGAGCGCATCGAGCAGCGGCCCTGGCTGGTGGACAATCTAGACGCGTGGCTGGAGCGCCTGCACCTGAGTCCGGCGCACAAGTGCGCCGTCATCTTTGTGGACAACAGCGGCGTGGATGTGGTCCTCGGAGTGCTGCCCTTTGTGCGCGAGCTGCTGCGACGTGGCACCAAGGTGCTGCTCTGCGCCAACAGCGAGCCGTCGCTGAACGATGTGACCAGTCGGGAGCTGAGCGAACTGCTGGACGATTGTGCCTGCCAGTGCGATGTCCTGGACAGCGCCTGGCGCTCGGGTCGCCTGCTGGTGTACGCCAACGGACAGAGCGGTCCCTGCCTGGACATGCGCACGCTGCCCCGGGAGCTGTGCGACGCCATTGCTGCCAATGAGACTGATCTGCTTGTTATCGAGGGCATGGGCCGGGCGCTCCACACCAATCTGAATGCCCAGTTCGCGTGCGAGACCCTCAAGCTGGCCGTGATCAAGAACCGCTGGCTGGCCAAGTACCTGGGCGGCGACAAGATGTTCGCGGTCATCTGCAAGTACGAGCGCAGCTAGTGCTTGGCCGAAGGATCTTCATTTACTGTTATACTCTGCATTGTTTTTTTTAAATTACAAATTATTGTTATTGTTTGAAGCGGAAGAAGAAGAAGAAGCGGAAAAAAGCTGAAGAAGCGAAAGAGGAAACTAACAAAGAGATGAGAACATTTTGAGATTCCGATTCAATTGTCATGTGGTTTGTCGCCCACTTTAAAGACTGCTTAGAGAGATCTGTACAACTTAATGATGTTTGCAACAAAAATGTGCTTAAGTGTGAAATTTGTTTTTATTTTGTAATTACTTAAGAGCTCTTGTTTCTAATATGAACTAAAATTGAATTTTGGGCTTTCTTTTTAAATATTTAAATCATATAATTGTAAAAAATTACGAAAGTAATTCGTTTTAGTTTTTGTGGCATTTTTGTAAAACTTAAAATAGTAAATATAATTTTTTTTTTTTTAAATTATATAAATTTAATTTATTTTTCGGGTTTTCTTGTACAATTTAAATGCTTAAAATTGTGAACATATATTTTTAAAAAATTAAAATTTGTGGCAGTTTTTTAAATGCATTAAATTTTGCATGTGTGTGGCATTTGTTTTGGAGTTCTTGTAAATTTTAAAATTGTTAAAAAATTGTATGAATTATTAATTTATTTAATTATAAATTATAAATTATTTAGCTTATAAAGTCAGCATAGATCATTCACCTTTGGGACTTTAATGTCAATTACGTTTACAAACCGCATTCAGTTATCTTTTTATTTTTAAAAGTATAAATAACAATGCCTTTTGTTTATCAAGCTCCACAGCTCCCATTAAAAATTGTTCTTTCTGTCATATGGTTATAAATTAGCCAACTGATAAGCGAACACAAACACCAACACCACAAAATAAAAAAAAAAACAAAAACAAAAACGGCAACAGTGGTTGATGGTAGCGGATTAAAACCACTCGCATCGATAAGACACGCAAAAAAGTTTTTTATTTTCTAGCAGCTAATTGTTTATATGGAACGTGATAAAATGTTTATATGTGAGACCCATTAAAACATTGTAATTAGCATATTATATGTCACTTTTGTCTGTACATTTTATTCTCAGCCGCCTTCTTGATAAGGTCTTTCTCTATTCCGATAATTGTGTCAACTGATAAAGCTTAACGCGTCGCTGCATGCCCAACCAGACTTTGGCTTGTGGATTAAGTGAGAGCTTCACTAAAAAATATTTATAGCTTTTTATTTTATTTCTATATTTAAAAGAAATTTTCATTGTCTAATACTTAAAAAAAAAATATATATATTTTCATGTTTTTATTCTATTTTAAACTAAGGCCGAATAGAACTAAATTTGATCTATTAATAAATATTAAATAAATAATTATTAATTTTTTGTTTATTTCTTTTATTTAATTTTTTGTTTGTATGCCTCCTTGCTGCTTGAAAAAATTGTATTTTTATATGATTAACACCAAAATATATAAAACCCATTCGTCGAGTCTTTTATGATTTACTGATAAGATTATAAGGAACTACGCCAGACAGACTGTAAAAAAAACGATTAATTTAGATGATGTTGAAAATAAAAAATTATCATATAAAATCATATAACAAAATATATAATGATAATAATAAATATATATTTTTACTTTAGAGACAGATGTATAAGAAAAAAAAAAAAAAAAGATAAAAAAACTAATATTTATAAAATAATAATAAAATTAAAAAGACAGAAAAAAACAAAAATAAATTGTATAATATTCGAAAAAAAATTAATAAATTAATTAATAAATTAAAATAAAATAAAATAATAAATTCTGTACACATTATTTACATATATTAACTGAATATTAAATTGAGATAACAAATTTGTATAGCCTCATAAATTTGATACTCAATTGTAAGATTTTTTTTTTTTTATTAAAGTTTTAAATGCTATCTGTCTTAAGGTAATCGATAATAAAATAGACTAACTAATTAATATCCATGAGTAATATCTTTGAGCACAAGGGAACTGAGACAATAGACGAGAGCTCTAAGATCTGTAAAAACTTCTTTGAATACAATATAAAATACATAAAATATGACAAATTTTTTTAAAAACAAAGTTTAAGCTCAAACGCAAAATATATCATTATAAAATATAATAATTGTAATAATTATTTATTCCAAACTTTCAGTCGGGCAATGCCGGGCAACTGCTGTCCGTCGTAAATAAATCAAAAGCGAAACTCTGGGAGACGAACCGTTATCGCTAATTGAATTCATTCGTCTAGTTGAGTCTTAAAATTGGTTTGTTTATGAATTTAATGTCAAGGCAAATACTGGAACAAAACAAATACATGTTCACATAGTTTAATAATCTCAGTGTATATATGTATATGTATTTATAGGTTATATTTATATACTCATGTGTATTTTTACATTGAGTGAGTTCTATTGCTAAGATGAGCGAACATGTTGCCATCGAGCATCGAGGTGTATTCAAAAGCAGCTGCGCCAGCGGAGGAGGCTCAGTTGATAACTGGAGGCTGGGGCTGTCGTAATGCGAGGCGTGGCAACATCTACATAATGGTCACCCTAATACTCATACTCCTGCACATACTGCTGCTGCCCCTCTACGTCTACCTCACCTGGCACCACAAGTACTGGAGCAAGCGGGGCTTGATCACGGCGAAGCCCTTGACTCTGCTGGGCACCTATCCGGGTCTGCTTACCCGCAAGAGCAATCTGGTCGTGGAGGTGCAAAACATCTACAAGTAGGTCATATACCAGATGCTATATACCATGCATTTATGCACTGTTCGCCTCCCTTTAGTAAGTATAAAAGCAAGCATCGCGCTGTGGGCGTTTTTGTCACGAGACAACCCCAAATCCTGGTGCTCGATCCCAAGCTGGCCCATGAGATTCTCGTGGGCAACTTCCGCTGCTTCAAGGACTCGCTGACCAGCTCCTACATACAGCATGCCAAGTGGGACAAGTACGCCCGGCGTAATCCCTTCTGGGCATCCGGCGACACCTGGCGACGTCTGCGCTCCGAGGCTCAGGCGGGGCTATCGGCGAATCGCTTGAAGCGTGGCTACGGCATTTGGGAGCAGAGCGGCCGGAAGCTGACCAAGTACATGGCGGAGCACCTAAACAATAATATGCTGGAGACCAGAGATGTGAGTAAGCCAAGTGAGCGAGATTTAAAGAGATATCTGATAGTGGGGAATGGGAATTCCTGTTGAATTAAGAAGAAGAATTCTTAGAAAATTAGCTATGATTTGGATCTCTGTTAAATATGAGGCTAAAGAAACTTTTAATAGAGATCCAAAATCACATTTAAATTGCTGATATAGAATATGAAAAACTTGTTCAATATTATGTTTCTTGTCTCTCTCTCTTCAATATTCTCTCTTATCTTTTTCTTTACTCTTGCTTTCTCTCTCTTTTGACTCAATTATTTGTTAATGTTTTTTCTCTCTCTATCTTACTCTCTCTCGCCTTATCAATCACAAACTAATACACCCCACCTCCAGCTCTGTTTTCGATATACAGCCGATGTGATGTGTGATTTCATATGGGGCATCGATGCGGGCACCTTGACCCACCACACGACAGAGCCCAACAAGGTGCAGCAGATGGCCAGCAAGTGGACCAACTACGCCTTCTACATGATCTCCATCTTTATGGCATCGATCATAGCTCCGTTTAGTCGGCTGCTGCTGCGCTTGCGCTTCTATCCCAAGGACACGGATGAGTTCTTTTCGAACCTGACCAAGGAGTCGCTTAACTTGCGCTTGAAGGCCGGCGAGGAGCCGCAACGCGTTGACTACCTATCGCATCTGCTGAGGCTGCGCGACGAGAAGAATGCCTCGCACGATGATCTGGTGGGCCATGCGCTAACCGTTATGCTGGATGGCTACGATACCACAGGAACTGCGCTGCTTCACGCGCTCTACTATGTAAGCCAGAATTCACATTTATGCATATGTATGTCAAATCTAATTAAGAATTCCTTCAGCTGTCGGAGTTTCCCTCTGCTCAGCAAAAGCTGCGCACGGAGTTGCGCCAGAGCACGGAGCACGAGAAATCCCTGGACTACGATAAGCTAAGCCAGTTGCCCTACCTGGAGCAGGTTGTCTACGGTGCGTATGTGTTATATACGGGGCTGGGTTGGGTGTAAAGGAAAGCTGAAAGAAGTTTAAGAGATACACAAAGAGATACGAAATTTTTACGAATATTTATATTATTTTAGATATTTCTTATTTAAGTTATACAGGATATACATATTCTAGTCTAGTCTAAATCTTTACTAATTATGTATATTATTATATATATGCCTACAATAAGGGAGAAAAGAAATATTTATTTTAATGTATAATTATTAAATGTTTTTTAGATCATCCCTATCTGATCTACAGCCTAATTCTAATCCATAATCGATCTATATCTATTCAATTTCAGAATCGTTGCGCTTGAGCAGTTTGATACCTCAATACACGAAAATCTGCACAGAGTCCACGTTTCTACAGCTGAGCGAGACTAGGCGCGTGGAGGTGGAGGAAGGCATGACCGTTATGATACCCAATTATCAGTTTCACCACGATGCCAAATACTTTCCCGAGCCGGAGGCATTCAGGCCAGAACGGTTCAATAATGGGGAGCACATCAAGCTGGTACAGCAGGGCATTCTGTTGCCCTTCAGCGATGGTCCACGCATATGCATGGGTAAGTCCATGCAATTTTGGATATCTGTATAACCAACAATATACCATATATTGACTGTTATTTTAGGTATGCGCCTGGCTCTGCTGACACTCAAGTCCGCACTGTTTCACATCGTCAGCAACTTTCAAATTGTGCGCAGTAAGCAGAAGATAGTCACGGATGGAGACTCGGGCTTCGGGGTCGTACTGCAAGGTGATATCAATTTGGAATATCGTCGCTTTGCTCGATAGCAATAGGTTTTCAACTAGCTAGGGCTATCGCATGTGCCGAGCCTCAAAATACGATTAGATATAATTAACTATTTCGAAGTGTCTCAACTCAACTGTTGTTGTGCCAGCAAAATTATGTCAAGTTCTATTTGGGTATATCGATTCTTAATAAATTGTGTAAGGTTATGTTTTGACTTCTCTGGTTCACGGATTAAGGCGAGAGACTGAATTGGAAAACCAGTTCCGAGCCGATTCGGACTGGTTCACTTACTGATTAAAAGAACTTGAATGGGTCCGCTATTATTACTCAACATTATCTCTGTAGGAACCAGAGCATGTGAGTCCACTAACCTAGAGTTCATTGAAGCTTCTGATGAAATTCTATAGATTATACGATTGTGGATTGGGTGATTGACTGATTCATGTTGGCTGTCATGAGCAAAGAAGCAAAGAAATTGCGTTTATTAAGTCTAAACTCTCCATAAATTGATATACATAAGTTGCATGCAGAGGAAGGGCATTGTATATGACAATGACCGATTGCCAGTTTATATGATATCAAGTTGGCTGAGGATCTGCTTGTTGATAGAGCTTGAATGAGACTTAGAATTAGTTAATCGATTGCTCAATTGGTCAGATTACATGGTCATATTGACTCACTTAAATGAAAGTTAGTTCACATGGACAGCTGAGAGACTTGATAATATGAACATTTGTAAAGTCCTTTAGAAGGTTAATAAATAAGCTAATGCATTTATGTAATACAATGATTGATGAGCAGAGCATTGCAAAAGTCTAGAGAGAGTTGTACTATTGTACTATTGAAATGTACATGCATGATACATTTTTCTAGGTTAAGTAAAAATATTACAGATTTTTTTTTTATTTTTAAAAGGTTAATTTTCATGTACTAATAAATAAAAAAAATTAATAATAATAATAATTTGTTTCTGTAATTTTTTTTTTTTTAAGATAAATCAAACAACTTATAAATTTAAATTAAATTATTTCTATCACTACTAAAAATATGTAACGAATATTATGAATAATAACAAATAAAATGAATTTTTTGTAAACGTAAAATGTACTAAAAAATAAAAAATTTAATAATAATAATAATTTGATTCTGTAATTTTTTGTTAAGGAAAAAACAAACAAGTTAAATATTCAAATTAAATTATTCATACATTTCTGTCACTACTTAAAATAGGTAATGAATATAATGAATAATAACAAATAAAATGAATTTTTTTTTTAAGGAAAGACAAGCAGCTAAATATTCAAGTTAAATTATTCATTCATTTCTATCACAACTTGAAATATGTATTATAATAATAAATGAAATGAATAGTAATAATAACAATTTCTCAACAATTTAACTTAATTATTGCGTATTAGAGTAAACAAGTGCTACTACACTAAGTGAGCTCTAATGAAAACATTGTTGGCATCTCGACAGGGGTCGAGTGAGCGAGCGTGCGTAGAGATAATGAGGGTCTAGTATAATCGAACGTATGCATGTGTATGTGTAATCATATAGCCATTATCAGCGAGTAGAGCTCAGATAGATTTCCACTCGGAGCACTCAGCAAACAGTTGCTAAACGAACGAGCTGCCGCAATGTGGACGCTGATTGGAGTGCTCTTGGGCATTGTGCCCGTGGCCTTTGCTGGAGTTTACCTGTATCTCACCTGGTTCCATGGCTACTGGACGAAACGTGGCCTGACGACGGCCCAGCCGCTGACTCTGCTCGGCAGCTATCCGGGCTTGTTTGGAGGCGGCAGCAGCTTCATCGCAGACATTGGCAAGATTTACAAGTAAATAGAGCTATACAAATACATATATGTGATATAGGTATAATATATAATATGTCTGTAGCAAATACAAGGGCAAGGAGCGAGCCGTGGGCACATTCCTGACACGGCAGCCACAGATCCTGGTGCTCGATCCGCAGCTGGCTCACGAGATCTTGGTCACGAACTTCAGCGACTTCCGGGACACAGTGACTAGCAGCTATGTGACCCACTCGACGGCCTATGATAAGTACGTCTCACGCAATCCCTTCTTCAGTGCCGGCGATGAGTGGAAGAAGCGCCGCGTGGACGGCGGAGCAGGCCTAACGCCCAATAAGCTGAGGCAGGCCTATGCCATTTGGGAGCAGACGGGAGAGCAGCTCGTCAACTTCATGCAGAGATGCATCGAGGAGCGGAATAGCAATGTCATCGAAACCAGAGATGTGGGTAGTTTCTGATCTGATCTGATATATCCATCTATCTATCCATCCATCTATATACGAATCTCCTTGTCTGGCAGCTCTGCTATCGCTACACAGCTCAGGCCATGGGCGACTTCATCTGGGGCATCGATGCTGGCTCCTTGACCGGCAGCATCAAGGAGACGAGCTCCTTCCAGCGCGTCTCCACGGAGTGGGCTACGCATGCTTTTCTGGGCATGACGCGGTTCAATCGCACGTCGATTGCGCCCATTGTGCGGAGATTGTTTCGCATGCGTTTCTTCACCCAGGCAGCGGATGAGTTCTATCTGAAGCTCACCCGGGATGCGGCCAAGCTGCGGCAGAGCGGCAGTGGAGGGGAGCGTTCAGATTACTTGGCGCATCTGCTGCAGCTGCAGGAGAAGGGCGCCAGCCTGGACGATATGGTGGGTCATGCTATGACCGTGCTGATGGATGGCTACGAGACCTCGGGCGCTGTGCTCTACCATATGCTCTATACGGCAAGTAGAGATGTTTTCGTCATCTCATTTCACTATTTCACAACAATTTCTGATTTTGACCTCATTAGCTGGGCTCTTGTCCAGAACAACAGCAGAAGCTACGCTCCGAAATCTTGACTGCGCTGGGCGGTGATAAGCGCATTAGCTACGAGCAGCTGACTTCTCTACCCTACCTCGATCAGTGTGTTTACGGTATGGGAACTTTTTGATTATTGTCCACCTCTTGTGATCGATCCTCATATTAATTTGTTCTGTGACTCATTGATGGAGGCGACTTTGATAAGTCTTTACCGAATGGGTATATATGTGAATGTGAATATGAATGTGAATATGAATGTGAGTGTGAGTGTGAATGGGAATGTAAATGTGAATGCGAATGTTAGTGTGAATGTGAGTGTGAATGTGAATGTGAGTGTGAATATGAATATAAATATGAATTTAAATGTGAATGTGAATGTGGATGTGGATGTGAATGTGAATGTGAATGTGAATGTGAATGTGAATGTGAATGTGAATATGAATATGAATATAAATATGAATTTAAATGTGAATATAAATATACATGGGAATATGAGTGTGAACGTGAATGTGAATGTGAATGTGAGTGAGAATATGAATATAAATATGAATTGAAATGTGAATACGAATGTGAATGTGAATGTGAATGTGGATGTGAATGTGGATGTGAATGTAAATGTGAATGTGAGTACAAATGTGAATATTCATGTGTATATACGTGTAATCTGAATATTAATCTGAATATGTGAATGAATGAAATGAATATAAGTTCCACTATTATTATTATTATTATCATATAGTGTTATATGAATATGAATGAATGCACTTGTGAATAATTATTTATATATATTCCATATATATTCATAGAATCGATGCGTATGACCAGCGTGATTGGCTTCTTGCTCAAGATCTGCACTAGGCCCACAAAAATCGACTTGGGCAACGATAAAATCTTGAATGTCGAGCCGGGCGTCACTGTGGCAATACCCGCGTATCACTATCATCACGATGAAACCTATTTTCCTCAACCGGACGAGTTTCGGCCCGAACGCTTTGACAATGAAGGCGTCAGCGAGTTCACCAAGCGCGGCTGCCTCCTGGCCTTCGGGGATGGACCACGCATCTGCCTGGGTGAGTGTCCAAATATAGATCGATGGATAAATGTGTCAATAGTAAGAGAGTATTTAAGTAGGGGCAACCCTAGGTGTCCGTTAGTCGAGTACTTCTTGATTTATATTGTTATCTTTAAAGTTCGTACGATAGAATCCAATTAGATATCCCATCCGGATATTATTTATGACACATATATTATTTATTATTGTTGAAAATCTATACATTTTATACAAAACCTGTCCACATAGCACTTTACCCATTTCTTATATCTAGAACTTTTTTTCTATATATAAAAGCTTTACAATTTATGAACTCATAAATCTCAATTTATATATTTCAGGCATGCGAGTTGGCTTGCTAAGTGTGAAAATGGCTCTGCTACGCATTTTATCCGAGTACAAAATCGAGCAGACTAAAAAGTTGTCCCTGTCCTCCGACTCCGGCCTGGGAATGTACTTGAATGGGGATGTTGATTTGCGATATACGCGCATAGAACTTGCCAAATAAAAATATTCGAATTTCAATGTATCCATTGTATGCAGTCAACCTTTTGGGCAACACTCGGCGAATTATGAAACGTGTCCCTCGCTCTCCGTTGGACGCTTGGGGTCGCCGTGCACCGAAAATTTAATTTAGCGCAAACCGACCGCAGACCAACTGACACCAAGGCGCCGCCACCCTTCAGCCCCGCCCCAAATGTCGCCGCAAACCTGCACTGAGCTGTACTGCGGCCAACCCGCCGGACTTTATGCCATGTACAAGAATTTTCATATTGAGCGACCGCGTGCGTCGCGTCGCGTCGCCAATGCAACTGTGCTTTCAAATACATATGGGTGTACACAAGTGTGTGCGTGTGTGTGCTTGCGTGTGTGTGTGCTTTACTATTCTGATGCAGACGTGGCCTCTCCATGGCATATCCAGTAACAAAGATTGCGAGATGGGCATATTGAATGAGGGACTTTAGGTGATATAGAATCGAAATATATATAGAAATTCTAAGCACTGTACGTACACTGAAGCCATATGTACATATATATACCGTACAGCACTTATAATTTCTTAATCTATAGTAAAACATATACATATATGTATGTATTTAGATTCTATATCATCAATTTAAATCACTCATCAATAGCAAGTAAGAGTGATTTGCAATAATTATACTATGTGGTACAGTCTAGACATTTTCATTTCCCCAATCGTCTTGCTGATTGCACAAGCTAGTATAACTATATATATGTATATATATTAATTGCTATATCAGCATATACAAGAATTTAGAAACTAGTGCTCAGAAAAAAGATAAACAAATGTGAAACATGATAAGAGGAACAAGAACAACATGGAGATCCCAAGCAGATAGATGGTTCAAAGAAATTTTAAAAACTTGAACAAGATTGAAGAAGAATATCTCTAGAACTAGGATGAAAGCAGAAATTATATTCCTTCGATTAGAAACTTACGAAAGCTGTTTTGGCTAGGCAAAGCGGATGAGCTAATCGAAGGAATAAAGAAAGAAGGAGTATATACCAGGAGGAGAGAGAAATCACGGAGTGAACCGATACCTATTAGGTAACTGTCGATGTAAACATATAATATGAATATATGTTGAAGTATTACACTACCTACTGCTTGATCCAAAATCTATCATATATAGTTAATTATTTTTCCAATCATTTTTCATTGCATACTTTCAGGCATGTAGAAACCGACTGCAAGCTGAATGTATTCAATAGTTAGTGTTATTAGTGAAATGAACAGCTTAATTAACTTAATTAGCCTGAAGGCCTTTGTCGCTCTGGCTTAAAACTTGTTATATAGAATTAATACTTTTTAGCAATAAATAAATAAATAAATAAATAAATAAACTTCATTATCTAACTAGCTAGAATAGCTTTACCTCATGCCATGCAAAAGGCTCATGCGTAAAATTTTCAACTTTAAAGTTGAGCGAATTTAATTTTTATATATATTTATATTTTTATATGCATGTATGTTTTTATATATTTTTATATTTTATATATATTAATTTTTTTATATATTTATATTTATATAGATATACAAATTTGTATTTATTTAGTTAATTATTAATTTTTTTTTATGAAATTGTTTACAGGGTATATTTGTGTATATTTTTTTTTGTATATTTATATAGATATACAAATTTGTATTTATTTAGTTAATTATTATTATTATTTTTTTTTATAAAATTGATTACAGGGTATATTTGTGTATATTTTTTATTATATATTTATATAGATATACAAATTTGTATTTATTTATTTGTTATTTTTTTTTGTATAAAATTATTTACAGGGTATATTTGTGTATATATATATATTTTTTTTTTATATAGATATACAAATTTGTATTTATTTATTTGTTATTATTATTTTTTTTTTTTTATAAATTTATTTACAGGGTATATTTGTGGCGCAGCATTCACAAATCAAATGCATTTTTATTTACGCTGCACTTTGTGTTATTTTTCATGTTTCTCTTCTTCTTACTTTCGTTTTTAGCTCTTTGCCCTTGTTTTGCAACAAGCCACAAAATTTCATTTGAGCTTGCAATATGGCGCATTTAAATATCCTTTTATTTTTTTATTTATATTTCTATTTATTTTATTTTTTGTTAACGTTTGTGTTGTTGGTGTGTGTGTGTGTGTGTGTGTGCATGAAAATTAAATTTTATGACGCCATCGTCACTGTTTTTATTTATTAGTCTAAAAGCAAATTGTGGCCACAAAACAAAGGCTGACTGTAAACCCGTAAAAATAACCGCAAATATTTGAATTCGATTTGAATGTAAATGCAGCGAGAGAGAGAGAGAGAGAGAGAGAGAGTGGGGGTGAGGAGACATAAAAAGTTAATGACTGGCGCAGTTAGTGCCATGAAAAAGAAATATATATATGTATATGTATATAGCTAGCGTCTTTGCAGTGTTTGCAGTCAGAGTCTTCATTTTCATGTTGCTGCAACACTTGAAGATAAGCAGCAGCAACAGCCAGGCACAGCCTCTGCCACTCCCTCTCCCTCTCTCTCTCTCCCTCTCTCTGTGTGTATGCGGCACAGCCAGAGGTCCTGTCACCTCTGTTCGCTGTTTGTGCCTGGCTTCATGCTACGTTGGCTTTTATCCAATTTACCTGATAACCACAAATGAGCGTTAATGGCCAAATAAATAGAAAAGTGGCAACTACGGCGCGACGGCGCGTTAACTGAATGAGCCACGCCCACACCCACTCCCCCGCCTGGCCATACGCCCCACTCAGCTGCAGGTTATGCTCATCTGTATGCCGTCGCGTATATTTAGTACATTTACTAAGCGAATTTAATGCGTTTGGCACGCTGCTCGACATTTGTTTGCCATGGAAATGCGGGGAAATGCAGGGAAATGCGGGGAAATCCGATAAATATGAGATGAGCGCCCATTTGAATTACCAATTTAATATTCAGTTTCCCAAAAATCAGTTGATATCACTTGGAATTAATTTAAATTTACGGCTTTTCATTTATCTGACTGTTTAGTGAGAAATTTCATTTGCTTTTAAAGTTTAAAATCGCCCACATTTAGTTTTAATAATCTTCATGGATGCTTAAGCTGTCATAAATGGAGTATGAATAGTTAGAAGTTTAAGGAATTACGCCCAATAATTTGTACATTTAAATTTGTGCTTTTTTATGATTTTTTTTTTTTAAGTTAAAATTTTTAAAATATTTTTTAGCTTAAACTTTTTCTATGGTTTTCTTTTTTAGTTAGTTATATAATATATCTAATATTTAGCTTATATTTTTTTTTATGATTTTCTTTTTTAGTTAGTTTATGGCTTTTCCTGCTTGTTGTCAAAGCCACGTTTAAGCTTTTCGATTAACCATTTAATCAGATGCCAAGAGCAAACGCCGGCGCTTGGCCAAGGAGTAGTGTGACAAACCAGTTGATAGGCCAAACAAGGTGCCAATTTGGGCAGGAGAAGGAGGAGGAGGAGGAGGACGAGGAGGAGGAGGAGGAGGAGCCATTGTTGTAGAAGGAGAGACACAAAGACGAGGAGCACGCTGCAGGAAAAGGCAACAGAAGGGGGCAGCTGGAGGAGGCAGGAGAAGGAGGAGAAGGTAGGAGGCAGGAGGCAGGAGGGTGAGGAGAAGGCTACAGGAGAAGGCAGCTAGAGAAGGATGTATAAGCAGCAGGGCATAGGGGCATGGTCAGTTGATAAGTTTATGGGAATGGAGGAGCAGCAGGAGAAGCAAGTGGGTTGCGGACTGTTGGCTGAAGGTTTTAAGTGAAATTGGTTCGTGCCTAACATTGCGTCAACGTTACATTAATTTGCGCACGTTCCAGTTGCCGGCGGCTCCCATTCCGATAGAATCGAAGAGCTGTTGCTGATGTGGCAGCAGTTGTTGTTGCTGCTTGTTTGGCTGTTGGGGCTTTTGGGCAACTGTTGGGGCTGTTGGGGCTGCTGGCGGGCATTGCAACACTTTGGCCACAGAAGTGCAGCCAGCAGCGTGGGCTAATGGAATTAGCAACAATTTAACCATTAAACACATCATGTGCATTGGCATTAGGTTTCGGACTTTGGCTGCGATTTGCAGCACCCGCACAGCAACAGCAGCAACAGCAGCAACAGCAACAGCAACAATAACAACATTTAGTGATTACTTCTGGTCTCCATTGTCGAGTGTCTGTGCATAGCCAACTAGTCGTGCTATCTGTCTGCGTGCCAGACGCCGTTTATTGGCATTAGAGCTGTGCTGGCTCCTTGCTATTGCCTTTTTGGCTCCGCGGCGTGGTTAATAGACTTTGGGGCTTTTGTTGCGGGCAACAGTTGTGCGAATTTCGAATCGCTTGCATAGTGCAACGTAGCGCTAATTAAAATGAAATTTGTTCAGTTTGCCGCAAATAAGCCAACGAAATCACGGGCTGCCAGAGGATCTTCTCTTGGCCATGGTCAAAGGGAAAGTCGCAGTCACCGCCGCAGCCGCAGCCGCAGCAAAGGCGTTGAAGTGCTTGGCTTTTATGACAGGTAAGTATTTGTGTAAGCAGAAAAGCAAAATCCGCAGCGAAAGCAAATTTCTGCTGACTTGCCACAACTTGTTGACCCACTACACGTATACGTAATGCGAGTGCTGGTCATTATGGTTCCGTTACGCTTACGTGAACGAACTAACTCAATCGCCAGTTGGCGTTTATTCTCTCTGTTTTATTGATGACTGCTTGAGCTGTTTAGCCTTAATTTGAGTTACGTTTCGAATGGCTATTGCTGTGGTTAGACTGCAGTTACGTCTGCTCTTGTGATGGTTCACTTCAGGGAACTAGTTCCAATGACTAGACTGCTTACGTAACGTACGAAATCAATATGACAAGCATCTTAAATCAAAGGGCGCTAGTTCCAATGGAAGCAACTCAAACTACTATCCAACAGCAAATTTTTGCTCAGCTTTACTCACCTTGTGGAACTAGTTCCATTTAGAGTTTAGTTTAATTTAAGTGAAAGCTGCATCCAAAGAAATTAATCAGAATAATAATGGCATTAT